AGGGTTTAGGGTTTAGGGCACCTTATTTGGGGGTCCTTAAAATAAGGATCCTACTATTTAAGGTACCATATTGACTATATTAGGGTCCCCTATTTTCTTAAACCCCCTTTTGGGTTTAACTAAAGTAGTTGGGGTTAAGGGTAGAAGCTTTTTTTAAGCTAGTTGGGAAGACAGGGGGGGGGGCCATTGGAGTTTTGGGTTTACTGAGGGTTTGAAGTTTAATTAAATTAGTTGGGGTTTAGGGCTTAGTAAAATTAGTTGGATTAGGTTCAGGGTTTCGGGTTCTGGGTTTGGGGTTGAAGGCTTACGGGGCTTTATTCGGGTTGAGGGTGTGTTAGTGATGTAACGAGGGTCGGAACACGTGGTAACAAGATCCGCCATAAAACGAATACAAGGTTTAAGACCCTTCCATTCGGGATGAAGATTGCCGCGCCACTCTAAACCCTTAACCTAAAACCCGACAATCCCTAAGATAGATTCATTACCGATGCTATTCCTTGGGCTCCCAAAATAGTATTTATACTATTTTGGGAGCCCAGAACCCTACTCTAATCTATTATTAAGGCCCCTACATTAAACCCTAAACCCTAAACCGTAAACTCTAACTTCATTAATATTATCAAGGCCCCTACATTAAACCCTGATCCCCATAACCCCTTGAAGCCTCAATGAATCCGATTTCCAACAAGCTCCAACAAAAATCCAGTTTAAAAGGAACCTAAAGCCCCAGGGTTGAGTAGAACTCTAGACTACAATATAGAACTCTCAAGCCCCGAATAGAAGCCTTCTATGTCTATAGCATCCTGTGAGATAGAATTCAGGGCCGCTGAATGCTCTGCCTGGCCTGCGCATTGCATTTGGAGAAGAGCGGATGCCGCTTCCTAGCACGCAGCACAGTTCGTCGGAAAATGAACATGTGCGGTGTCCATGGGATGGCGACCTAAACCTAGCAGACGAGGAAACTCGGGTTTAGCAGTATCCATTAATGCTTGAATAGTCAGACATGCTGCTTCATAGTTTGTAAGAGGGTGCTAATTACTAACTATCTATACGTATATATACATACATACATACATACATACATACATACATACATACATACATACATACATACATACATACACACACATATGCAATTACACACACACACACATACATACATACATATATACATACCTACATCTATATATATATATATATATATATATGTATATGCATGTTGTCCATAAAATATGCATGTTTTCCTGTTTTGGCCTTTGGGTTCAGGGTAAACCCTAGACCCAGCAGTGGGGACCTGCGAGCTGCTTCCTGGCCCCAAGTCCCGGCATGTCGAGAATCGCTCTGCTCCAAGAGAGGGGTTTAGGGTTTAGGGTTTAGGGTTTAGGGTTTGGGGTTTAGGGTTTAGGGCTTAGGGTTTAGGGTTTAGGGTTTAGGGTTTAGAGTTTAGGCTGTAGGCTTTAGGGTTTAGGGTTTAGGGTTTAGGGTTCAGGGCTCAGGGCTTGAGGCTTAGGGTTTGGTCCAGGGTTTGGGATTTAGGATTGCTTTTCGGTTTAACACCTTTTTGTCCTCCTTAAGGGTTTAGGGCTTACCCTGGGTACTGCCTCCATACAGCAACAGGCTACAATAAAGGTACTGTTAAAGTTTAGGGCTAAGGGCCCACTGCGAAAACCTTGCACACAGGAAGCCAAAACTGTAGGCCCTGCACTTTACAAGCCCCAGAAGGGGCGAGCTATGAAGCTGGTCAACATCTTGAAACAAGTGTCCGCGCCAACAACCCTCAGCCGTGAATTGCCAAGACCGCAATAAACACAAGCCCAGTAACAAACTCTTCACCAATTCCCCGATGTCTACAACCGAACCCCCTAAACCCCAATCTAGCAACTTTTATGATTTGAGTGGGCTTGGGGGCATTGTATGGTATGAAGAGACTAAGTGAAATCTGAGAACTGGTGTTAGCAATAGTAATTTCTCAGGCCCCTAAACCCTGAACCTATTTAAACCCTGAGCCCTGAAAGCCTAAAACCCTGAACCCTAAACCCTGAATCGTAAACCCTGAACCCTGAACCCTGAACCCTAAACCCGAAACCCTGAACCCTAAAACCCTAAAACCTAAAAACCTAAAAACCCTAAAACCCTGAAACCTAAAAACCCTTGAACCCTCAAACCCTAAAACCCCTGAACCCAAAGCCCCTAAAGCCCTGCACCCTACTTCTCCCACATCCTCCGAAACCAAGTGGGGATTTCCGAAAATAGGGGATCCTAAGATAGTGCCCCAAATAGTAGGATCCATATTATGAGGACCCCCAAAATAAGGTACCTAAACCCTAAACCCTAACCCTAAAGGGACCCTAATTTAGAAAACCTACCCAAGTGCAACCCGGGCTCTGGCTTGGGAAGAAGATGTTCACATCGCTGGTGTGAGTTGCATAGCCAAAGCCTTCTGAGGGATTCTTAGCGCTTAGGGTTTAGGGTTTA